GTTTTCTTCATCAGTTTTCATCTGCAAATGTTGACATCCTGTAGTACAATTTCCACCCCTTTGTTCCCCCATTGGTTCTGCTGTCTTTTGTGCTAAACAGTTATACTTCTCTGGCATAATTGAGTTTCAAAGCTGCTAGTGGTGCACTCATACATCAGTTCCATATCGGATCTGCACCAACATAAGGAAAATTGACTTTATCAGTAATCAGCCTTTTTTTTTGGCTGATGTGGCCAATAATGCCATCCAATAAATGCCTGGTACATGCATGCAGCCACAGCACAGCATGCAGGCACCAGGAGTGCAGCATGGAGAGCAGCTGGGTCTGGCTGGTAAGTCTTGTGAGTGAAGGGGAGTGGGGGTGGCACATTGACCGTGGTGGGGGAGGGATTGGGGCTGGGGCAGGGGCAAGGGCAGGCTCTGTACAGCCAGGGCAGAATGGGAGATGGAGCCACGAATGACTTGTCTGGGCAGGGGGCGGGGAGGAACTCCTGCCACTGCATGCACCCCAGGGGAGGCACGGGGGGTGTGTGCCTCCGGATCTGCTCACGGGGCGAGGGCAGGCTGCTACTGCAGGCTGGGGCCAGGGTGGTACCAGACTCTTCCCGGCAGGGGTGTTGAGCCAGGCTGTGCTCAGGGCAGGCAGCAGAGGTGCTGGGAGGGTGGCTGCAGCACCCCCCATAGACCCCTCCCAGTGCTGTCACCACCCACCCTGAGCACAGCCCTAGCCTAGCCCCCACCACTGGGAAGAGCTCAGTGCCACCCAGACCCTAGCCTGCAGCGGTAGCCCACCCTTGTCCCGCATGCAGAGTTGAGGGCACACACCTCCCATGGCTCCCAGGGTGTGCTCAGCAATGGAAGCTGCATGCACCCCTGCTCCCCCCCACCCCCGACAAACTGCTTACGGCTCCATCCCCTGGCTGTGCATCGTCCGCCCCAGCCGCACTCCCTCCCTCACCCCGGGGGCCTCAATCTGCCCCTTCCCTCCCCTCTTCCCCCACAACAGATTTACCAGCCAGACGCTGGTAAATAAATCCATGCTTCCTGGATACATATCGGAATCAGATTGGTATCAGCTGATATGGCTCATTAATAATCAGCCATCAGTATCTGCCCAAAAATTCTCTATCATGCACCCTTAAAAGCTGCCATTTCAACCTCCTTTTTTTTGCTATCTTCTACTCATTCCTGTCTCCACTTTTTCTCTATACACAGCATCTTCCAGTTTTGCTTGTTTGTTTGCAAGATTAAATTGACACAGTGCAATATGATCTTCCTTTTCCCTTAGTTTACCTGCCCTTTCTGTTCTCTTTGACTGTTCCTATCAGATAAAGAAGTTTCTTATATTCTTTCCTATCTCCTCGCATCAGTGATTCTTTACTTTTAGTAGGGTCTCTCTCTCTCCTCTGATTCACTCTTTCTTTTATGATACAGTGTGTATTTTCTCCTTTGAGTAATTGTTCATATGCACATTCTCACTTGTGGGTATGCTTAGCCCTTGACACTCTAAGCAGAAACTTTTTGCTTTAGTAGTACCTGTGGAGAAGTATGCATTAGCTTGGGTTGGCAACCCCCGGCACATATGCCACAGTGTGGCATGCAAAGGAATTTTGCTTAGCACGTGTGCCTTGGGGCAGATGGGAGAAGGGCTGGGGCTGTGCTGCCACAACAAGGATCGGGCCACTCACAGCTCCTCCACCGTCTATCTGGAAGTGTGTATACACTTTCAGCCAAGAAAGAAGGAAATACTGTCCATCACTGAATCGTGTTCTCTGGCACTATCCTTTGACCCAGGCTTTTTGTGTCCAAGTATGACTCATTCCATTTGGATCTCTTCCCATTGCATCTCATGGCCTGGATGCTGGATGGCAGTTATGGCAAGTGAAGAACACAGATGTTCATCACCTGTCAAGAACATCCTCAGCCATAGTAGGAATTACTTTACCAGACAAACTTACCTGCCAGCTTAGGTTTTTCAACTGGTGACATTCCAAGCACCTTCCTTCATCTGATTTTTCTCGATTCAGAACATTTTGGACTACCTGTTAGGCCAATTAGTTGTAAAACTCATCTGTGAGCAAAATCAGGGTTCTTCTTGCAGCTGCTTTGGTACATTGTCACACTTTTATGTCCAGTAAATCTGAGATTTTTCATAGTAGGGAGTTAATGGTGTTTCTTGACTGGGTCAGATGTGTAACAAAACCTATCTGTCATGGCTTGAATACACCCATTTCTTGAGCCACTGGTGACCTTTTGATTGCTGCACCTCTCCAGGTAGGTGGCATCTTTTGGTAACAGTCACTTTCACAAGAAAGATTGGTGAGATCCAGGCCTTCATAGAGGGGTCCACCCATGCTAACTTTTTTTTTCCTTGACAAGATTATTCCCTAAGGTGATCACTGAGTTTCACTTAACCAGAAAATTTTCCCCCAAAACCACATACCTGCCATCTGAGTCTTTGCTACACATGCTGGCTGTTAAGGAGACTTTGGCCTATTACTGCATAGGAGTAAGCCCCTCCGTAAGTCTGCGTGGGTTCTTGTAGCTATAGTCAAGGAATGTAAATGTACATTTACATGCATAACTGATTATCAGGTTGTGTGAAATTTTGCTATCAGACAGCCAAACAGAACTGTCCTTAGGTGATTCCTGTCCACTCCACCAAAGTGTAGTTCACCTCCAGAGAGACTCTTCACTATCTAAAGCTCAGTTCATACCTTCGCGATCATTATGCTTTTGTGGAGTACTGTAAAGTAGATGACACATTCAGCACACCTCCAAGTGCTTCTCACCTAGAGACCCACTTCCAGATATGTGACAGGCACTACTTTGGAGTTACTTACAAGTAAAAATGCATATGTGGACAATTACTTGAATGGTAAATTACTAGTAACTGGAATTCTTTTGAAGCACACTTGATCTCAGCCTACAGGAGGTCAAGAAGTGATTGTTCACATATCCAGAACTGAGTTTGCATGTGGACAAAGTATCTTGAAAAACTCTGCTTACTTGTAAATAACTCCCCTTTGTGCGTTCCATCTTAATTTAAAAACCACTTGATTTTTCAGATGCCACCTTGCTATGCTATCTTCTTTGTTACTGTTGAATGTGATGCATAAAAATTCTGCTCTCTATCCTCTGCCTTGGAAACATGCTTGCCAGTGCCATTTTCCTAGCCAAAGCTCAGAACAAATACTCCATTGTTAGTGATCCTTGATCCTTCAGGAACTTTCTTACAACTGATTGTTCTTCTTCAAATGCAGCGGTATGGCTTGGCTTCCCTTTCTAACTGTTCGTTTTGTATGTTCTTCAGAGGACTCTCTTGATTCCCTTCCCCAGCAACCTGTGGTGATACTGCAGAGCCCTGTCCTCCATCCTTCGTATTCCTCCTCTGTAACTTATATGTGGGTAATCTCATTTGCAGACACACAAGGACAAGATACTATCTCCATGCTTAAGACTATCAAAGATATACCAGACAGTCTAGGCCAAATTTTGTTTCTCTTTACACACCCAAGCCACATAAGTTCTTCAGCTACATAAATTGTACTTTCACCATTTTTATGCACGATTTTCAATTCTGTTACTCGTGCAGTGTGGACACACAAATGACTATGAAGCTACTTATGCAGTAGGCTGCACACTGGATGGGCAGTTACACAGTTATGTATTTGTGTATCCAAAAAACAGGAGAGTCCTATACCTGAGCAGGGTAAGGTACTCATGGGTTCAGGGGAACAGCCAACAGAGGGAGATGCAGGAGGCCAGAAAGATGAGAACAATGTTGACCATGTGTGGCTCAGTGAAATGGATGCAGAGCTCTAGAGGGGGCAAGACCCTGGGTCTAGACACTTGTTTCCCAGTAGTTTAGAAACTTCTCCACTGCTTTCTATCCATTTTGTATAATGAACATTATGGTTAAGATACTTGGGTACTGGGGAAAATGATTTGGGTTATGCCTGACTTGTGACTGGATGAGCACTGTGCTGAGAAGTCAAATGCAGAGAGTTTCAAACCGCTTCTGGGTATAGTCAGTGGAGGCACTAGAACCTGGGTCTTCTACTTCCTAGGCATGTACCCTAACCATTCAACTATGGGCTAAAGCTTGGGAAGTTTCATTATAATAGTCCTGTACATGCTACCCCTATTATGTGTTTTGCCAGGTAGAACTTTACAAGCATGTAGAGGCCTGGCTGGCATGTAGCCTATTGCAAAAACTCAGTAAAATGTCATGTAAATATCTGGAAAATAACCATTTGTACTTGTGAAGTAAACTAGAATTTGGCCCTTTCTGCCCTAATAAAAACTTTTAGCATATGCTTTTTGATATCTCACTTAAGCTCAAAATAACCAGAATTCTTCTTTACTCTCTCCTTTCCTGATTGTTGCTGGAAGCACCCCCACTCTTCCTGTTAAATCAGGTCCATAACCTCTTCAAGTTGAACTTTGCTCTAGGTCTTCACGGCCATGCTGCCTGAGAATCTTGCAGATCCCTTCATGGAATATCCTTAAGATACTGCGTTTCCTATCCATCCACACAGCTAAATCCATGCTCTTATCAGCTTTTATTTGTTTTTGCACCCTACTGTAATGCTACTGCACGTTTTCTTGTCCTGTTGGCTTTGACAATATCACCCGTGTAGTATCATTCCACTGGCTTCTTTTTTTCTTTCATATCAAACCAACTACTTGTCTTTACTTTCCAAGCCCTCCAGTTTAACCATATCCCTAGTTATCAGTCCATTTACTGTCGAGATCTTGTCTTTCACTTCAGAACAGCCCATGAGGCCACTTTGTATCATTTGTCGTATTTTCAGACCACTTGGAATGCTACCCTGCACATTTAGGAGGAGCGTCCCATAAACCTCTTCAATACCAACTCGTTATCATCCCTTGAAATTGCTCTTCAGAACTTTTTCCATGGTGCTTCCAAAATAAAAGGGGGGGCAGTGATTGAACTACTGCCTATTGTGCTAGCCACTCCTAGCCACTCTTGTCTTGTTTCCTTTTACTTCCCATCTATTCATCTGCAGTTCTTTGACTTGCATTTAGATTGGAAGACAGTTTTCCAGTTTCTCTCTATATTTTCAGAGAGTTCAAAATTTATTACACAGTATTTAAAGTTTTATTCCTACTTGTTCACACTTAAATGGGCTTCCAGTATCAACATTTAATCATTTTAAATCATTGGAAGCTTCTCCCCGCATAGCACAAAAATTTAAAGTAATATTAACATTTTATTTTAAGACACATACTTCCTCGGTTCCCCTAACCAAGTATATTTTTCTATTTTGTGAAACTTGAGAAAACCGGATTGACTAAGCAGTTTTTGAAGATGATTTTTTTTTTCTTTCATTGCTTAAATCAGGAGTTCCCAAACTTGGGGGTACACAGGAGAAATTGTATAATGGCAGATTTAATTGTCATTATAATAATAATGAGTATTTAATGAGTTAAAATATAAAGTGTATGCTGGTAGGGGTACATGCCTTGCTCTTGACAAATCCACGTGGGCTGTTCCTAATGACCTTGTTATATCCTTTTAAGTGCATAGGAAAAAGTTTCCTGCTGATGTTTCCAGGATTGCTCTGACCAGTTTATACACCAGTCTCTGACCAGTTTGTATTCTTCGGTGTCTTCATCAGTGACTAGGATATGAGTGTGAAGTGTACTCTGTCCAAGTTTGCAGATGATACTAAATTGTAGAATGAAGTGCACACTCTAGAGGGTAGGGAACAATTGCAGGCAGACCTGGACAAGTTGGAAAAGTGGGTAGAACACAATAGGATGCAGTTCAACAAGGACAAATGCAGAGTGCTGCACCTTGGGCATAAAAATATCCAGCATGACTACTGGCTGGGAAATGACCCTCTCAGCAGCACAGAAGTGAAAAGGGATCTCAGAGTCATAGTGGACTCCAAGATGAACGAGTCATCAGTGTGATAAAGTCATCAGCAAAGACAGCCGCACTTTATCGTGCATCAGGAGATGCATGACAAATAGAACCAAAGAGGTGATACTTCCCCTCTGTGTGGCATTGGTCAGACTGCAGTTGGAGTACTGCATCCAGTTTTGGGTGCCGCACTTCAAGAAGGATGTTGACAGACTTGAGAGGGTCCAGAGGAGGGCCACTCAAATGGGTAGGGCCTTACAGGACAAGCCCTATGAGGAGAGACTGAGACCTCTTCAGCCTCCACAAGAAAAGGTTGAGAGCTGATCTTGTGGCTGCCTACAAATTCATTAGGGGGGCTTAGCAAGGAATCAGAGATGCTCTGTTCACCAGGGTGCCTCTTGGGGTAACAGGATCAACGGTCACAAACTGGCAGAGAGCAGATTTAAGCTAGACATCAGGAAGAACTTCTTCACAGTAAGAGTGGCCAGAATTTGGAATGGGCATCCAAGGGAAGTGGTGCTCTCCCTTAGGTTGGGGGTTTTTAAGAGAAGGCTGGATAGGCATCTGGCTGGGGTCATCTGACCCCAGCAGTCTTTCTTGCCCAGGCAGGGGTCAGACTCCATGATCCGTTGAGGTCCCTTATGACACTAGCATCTATGAATCTGAACCACTGACTCCCATATTTGCCATCAGTTACATTCCTGGAGTGCCTGTTGGATTTGAAAGTTTTCCTTGTTCAATTCAAAAGTTTTGATATTACCTGGGATTTCAAACCCCTCTTCAAAAACACTTGATAGAAATTGTTTTAAAACATATATAATCCTTATAATCCTTTGCAGTGTGTCACAAGAAAGAGCTATTGTAATATGTTAGGACAGGGGTTTTCAGCCTTTTTGGATTAGTATACCCCTGGCGGCTGGACATGGAGCGGGAAGCAGGGAGTGGTGTGTGGCTGAATGTGGAGCGGTGGCCACCTCTCCGTACAAACTTCCCCTGCCCCCCATGTCCTGCTGAGTGGGTGGCACCTGTGCAGCAGCATGGGATGGTGCATGGTGGTTTCCATCCCTGCCTGCACATACCCCCTAGGGTCTTCTCAAGTACCCCTTGGGGTACACATACCCCCAGTTGACAACCCTGTGTTAGGACGATCCTCTTGGTCTCTGTTTTATTTAACCTATTATTTATTTTATCATGTTTTGTAGGCAGTGGCTTCCAAAATCCAAAATGGTTCCCCTTGGGATTGATGAGACCATAGACAAGTTAAAAATGATGGAAGGTCGTAACTCAAGCATTCGTAAAGCAGTAAGAATTGCTTTTGATCGTGCTATGAATCATCTGAGTAGAGTACATGGAGAACCAGTCAGCGACTTCAGTGATATTGACTAACAAAGATGCTACCAAGGCATGCTACAGACTTGAACTTTGCTTAATTAACCTCTTTGTCTAAAAGAATGTATTGAAGATATAACCCCTTAATCATTGATTCAGTGGCTGAGTTCTGCAAACTTGAAAGAGTTGAGCAGTTCTTCTAAATCACCATTGCCATATTGATTAATGATTTTATCATTGTGTTGTAGTTTGGAGGGTTTTCCACTAAACCTGTTAATGTCTTGTTCATAGTGTTCATATTTTGTACATATATGTATATTCAACACTTAACTTATTCTGATTTTTAGGAGTAGCTGTTTAATTCCTTTTTTTTTTTAAATTACTGGGGAGGGAGTAGGTTTTCATTTCCATGGTTTTACATTAAACAAAACATAGTTACCTAAGCACTCTCTTCCAGCTTACAGTGCTTAGTGAATTTTAAAGTATAATATCAAAAATGACATCAAATATATGTTTGCCTAAATCATATATATAATATGGTGCTGCTTGTATCATTTTTCCTTAATTTGTAGCTTCTGAAAAGACTTCTGAATGTTTAATTTTGTGTAAATCATTGCTCTTTGCACAAAGTACCACTTATTTAAGATTGATGTAAATTTACAATTAAAAATGTGTATTTTAAAAAAGAAAATAACATTATTTTGGAGGGTACTTTGTGAGAAAGACATCAAGAGTAAAATTATGCTATGTACATCACCTGCAAATCACCAAAAACACTCCATTGTTGCCCAAATAGGTTGTGGGTTTTTCTTTTTTTCTATTTTCCCTTTTCTGGTTTGTTTTGTTCTTTTAAATTTTTGGTTACTTTGTTTTAAACAAATCTGGCTTAAAGCCATAGAGCACATTTTCTTTCCAAATCACATCCCACCTATCTCCCATAGATTTTATTTTGTTCATATATGTGCCTCCCTATATTTTATTTATTGTAGAAAATGTACTAATTTTGCTTTATAATGAAAAAAAAATTGACAAAGTATATTATTATGCATTTTTATACAGGCACATGAGAAGACAACCTGCTTGGGAGAAAAGTGTATTGGAAATTGTATAAAATGATTTGATGGCTTGTGTGTAATTTTGATTTTTTGTAACTTGTAATCTTTTGTTTCCAATAAGGGGATATGTAACTTTTAATTTAGAACACTTTGGTAGCAATAGAAACTTTGGATACATTTTTGTATGGTACATGTGATGTATATAGAATTAGTACTTTATTTTTATTTTTAAGAAGTAAAGCATTATGTTTGGGCAGGGGGAAGAAAGAGGGTGGGTTTCCAGAACTGCAATTTTTATATTAAAAAAAATAAAGTCAAGATATTGATTGTTGTAGCTACTTTATTCCTACATTCACTGAAATACTGAATTTGTAACAATGAAAATGGCAAGGTATGTTTGCAATGTGATTTATAATGCCTCCATTATTTATAAATGCACTGTGTTGAACTTTTTTGCAGTGATATCCTAAATACTGTACCAAGTTATATAATATGAAACACCAAATAATGCATATAAATGCACGAAGTATTTATGCCCAGCTTTTTTATAATGGATTAGCAAATACAGCAAAACCAATACTTTAAACATTTTTTTTAATTTCATTGAATAGCATTCTTCATTGTAAACCTGCTTGAATCTTTATTTTAAAGGGACAGTCAATTACTTTTTAAATAGTTTTTAATGTTTTTATTCTCTATTGTTTGTAATACCCCCTTAGAAGCTTGAAATAAAATTTCTTTCTCAACTGATAGTTTTGTCCTGAATTTGGCCCCTGCAATTCTGCTATAGTGCCCCTTTTCCCAGTCCTGCACTGAATTGTTTAGGGAGCTACTAGATCAAAAACCTAATTGCTTTCTTGTTGTAGCCTATGAGGTGGAAATATAATCTTATGCTAAGAGCAACACATTGGGTATTCCAGTTATACTCTTATGGTATATGAGGCTTCACTAACAAAAACCATGTTACACCCCTGTAATCTCATAGATAATCTGTGTAGAAAATGGTTGAACTGCAGTTCAGCTCCTTTTCCTACTTGCAACAGAAAACATTAATGCTGCTCCATTTGAGGGAATTAAGCTGATCAGGTACCTTTAAGGTACTATGGTGTGATGATACAGCCACTGTGTATGAGGTAGAAACCCAACATTTAAATTTTATTGTCTCACAGTTCTAATGGGAAATTCAAAATGAATGGAGTCAGCTGTCATATCCACCTCTTCGGAGGGAACAGAAGAAAACAGACCTTATTTCGTTAGGGACTAGAAAAAATAAATTCATGCTTAAATCCCTTGGCAGTGGTGCTTATCCCCTCACATCTGTTTCATCCCAAAATGTGTGTTTCTGGAAAAATCCGTATCAATTACAATGTCACTGTTCTTAGTACTGTTGAAATTGGATGTCATCCACTGGCAAGGAGCAAAACTTCTTGAGGATTTCTGAAGTATTCTAGTTGTCTACCAGAAGAAAAAATTGGTATGAGGGAAATATGAGTCCTTTGCTCTTGCCTAAACTGGGACAGGGTGGCCAAGTAAAGGCATATTGCTGAGGTTTCAGAGGCACAGATCTGACTGCTCCCTGTTGACCAAGTTGTAAATGGCTGCCAGATCCATCATACTGGGAAGTCGAAGGCAATCAAGTGCTAACCATGACCTCTTGTTTGCTGTTGGCTGCTGCTGTCCAGGAGGCTGTTCTGTTCAGGCGTATCCCTTGTCTCTACAAACACAGGCCTCCAGTGCTTGGGATTACAAAGTGGACTTTTGTAAACTGCATGTTGCCCAACCAAGCATGTTCTTAGTAAATGCTTAGTATCAGCTGTAGGAAAACCAGCTCAGTTCATCATTGCAAATAATTTAATCAAGTGCACAACTGTGTTAAAGTGAATATTATAAGTTACAGTGTAATGAATAATTCAAAAAAGTGAAAGTTTCAGCCCATCCTTGTCTAATGCCTGGATTTTCTGGACAGGGAAAACTTCAGAGTTGTGCCTTTAGAAATTATTCCACATCATCTGGGAAAATTAGGTAACTTTAGGTATGTTTGGTTTTAGGGACACGCACCTGCTTTCACATGTACATGTATATCATGATTATGTAAATCATAACTTGACTGATTCAAAATCCTGCTCTTTGGGCATTCTGCATTACTGAACACAACTGAGCCTCTCAATCCACAGTTACTCATCAACAGAGCTCCCTCCCTCTGTCCTTTTCCATTCTTATAAAACTCTCTCTGCCAGGTCTTTCATCGCATCTGTCAAAGCAGGTTGTTACCCATGAAAGCTCATGTCTCTAAACCAGTTTGTTTCTGTGACCTGACAGGTGTTAAAATGATGGTGCAATTGGAATTGAAGGGATTTTATGTTGCTTCCCAAACATGACGTCTCCTGCCAGTCCAGACATGTATGGCAGGAGGAGTGATGTTTGGGATGCGGCATAAAATTACTGTGGTCCAAACTCCACTACTGAGCTGCCCCAGCCCAGATCCTGCAGGTTTGAGACCTGGGGCTGTTAGGGCTGATAGTTCTGGGTTCAGTTCAGAACTCTGCCCCCAATAGTCGTGGGTCCAGTCTGAGAGCCTGCCCCAAGATAGGCCAGTCACATGCATGGCTGTTAGAAATCCTTGTGGAGCTTCTCTTCCATCCTGAGATCCTTGTGCCCCAGAATGTCTACAAAGTGTAGGTACTTCAGGCCAAAGCAGGAAAGGCTGCTGGGCTCAGGGTTGCCAGGTTCCCAGCAACTGGAAACTCTTGGAACCTTGCAACCCCCTCTCCTGTCAGCTGATTTTTAGTATCAGGAGCAGGGCTTTCCCTAGCCCTTGACCCTGATGCTAAACCCTATCTCAGGGGTGGGCAATTATTTTGGGCGGAGGGATGTTTACTGAGTTTTGGCAAGCTGTCAAGGGCTGCATGGGTAGTCCCGCCCCCGGTTGCCATCTTGTGACCAGAAGTCCCAAACCCTAACCCCTGACCTTTGCCACCAGAAGTCCCTCTCCTTGCCCCCAGAAGTACTCCTTTCAGCAAGGGGTTTTGCTATCTCAGAACCAGAAAAATATCAAATTATATTCTAAGAAGTGATCATCTACACCATTAATTTGATTTCAAAAAATACTTTTGTCCTGATTTACATGTGTTTGTGTAGTGTATGCAGTGGTGACTGCACAGTAGCTTAAAATGAAGTCTTATTCTTGTATATTGTGGGGGGTGGGTATGTGGGATGTGGGTGGGTATGGGGGGAGGGTGGCTGG